TTTTTTGTTTTTTTTTATCTAATATGCGCCATTATTTTGGTTCTCATCACTGTTCTTGATGGTGGTACCTTGGGATGGATCTGGTAATTGTTGTTGATTGTCACCGTCTGTGGTTGTCTCCAGAGCTGTTATGTCGTCAAAGTTTGTGATACGTTTTTTGGTGCTTTTCTCTGTTGTTTTGGCAAATATGCGACCATCGGATGTCCAGTATGCGAAAATTTTATGGTTGTACTTGAGGTCGGCTAGCTTTTTTGTAAGACCAGTTCTATACTGTGTTAAGTTCTCAGTTATGAATATGCCATCTACATCACCCTTTAAGGCTTTTTTGTTGGTATAAACCCTGCTTCTTGTGCGATATGACAAGAATCTTACAATAACCTGCGATTTACCGTTTTTTACATTCCCTATAACATGACTACGCCCGATATCGTTAATAGTTAGATCCAGGCCTAGTTTGGAATTGCAGACATGTAGTATCAAAACATCAGTGTTAATAGGGTGAGGGATTTTACCGTTTTTTAATTTAGTTGAATTAAAGAGAGATTAATTGTCAATGGGTTAACCAGTTGTAAATAACACTTTATTTGACATCGAAAAATAAGTACAATATTTCATCTTTTTTATGGCAATATTATTAACTCAGTGTTTCTTTTGAAATTGTTTCGACAATTAAAAACTAGGACAAGATGTTCACATTTGAAATCCTTTCATTTGATTTGTGGACAAAAGTGTCAAGAGGTCTACAGCGTAATGGTTGGCTGAAATGTCATAGATCTCGTAATTTACCATTGTTTATTAGGTTTGTTTCATAAAGTGTTTTCTTATCTGTATTTAACCAGTTAGAAGCTAGCTTTGAAGAATGATATTTGGAATAACCTCTATTATTATGATTATAATCATATAATTGTATACTGCTTGCCTATTTTAATCTATTTCCGTGGCCAATAAAGCGATCTATAAGACTGAAATTTGAAATCTGTTTTCGTTGAAATCATTTATACAGACAACAATTCGGACCAATGAACATGAGAAGGAGTTTTATTATTTTGTCTTGTTCTAATGTGAACGGCAAAAAATAACCTGATAAGAGGAACAAAGATAAGTATGGTTGTAGGTTTTAAACATACATTTTGTAAGAATGTTGTGGAATTAAAACAAATGTTCGCGTGCGTTAACGCACTAACGCCCCCTTACCTCTGATTAAATCTTACCATTGGGTTAAAAAAATAAGTAAAACTCAATTAAGATAAGTAAGTCAAATCCTTACGTTCCGACAAAGAAATTGCGCATGGTAATAAAATAGTTTTATACATCTGTGGTTATTTTTATTTAGAGCAACATGACTTTAAGATCACCCCCACTGTTTACCTGTATGAAAGGTAGTCTTATTCGTACTCGGATTCCGAGTCCGACAGTTATTGTAAATCTCTATATGGGTACACAGTGAGCATTCATAAGATTACCGACTGTCTGTTGAAATATCAATCTACCAAACCTAACAAATATGTTGTCGATCAAAAACCATTCCATGTCTTCATAATGAAGCTACTGACAGTAGTAGACTCTGAATCTAATAAAATTTAAAGCAATTATATATGTTCGATCAACGATTTTGCACATTTCGTGTTAAAGACCAAACAGCCTATTCAGTTCTACCAGTGAATTTTCCTTCAAATTTTGTATGAAGGTATTTCATGATTTCAGGAACAAAATATGATGAAAAAAATTGAGGGTCACCGACTTCGTTTTGTCACCATAGCAACCTCGGTTTCGTGTTTTCTCGAATATTAACATGATATTTGCTTGTTATTTAAAGTTTCACAAAATTCCATTATATCAAACCTACAAGCATAATTATTGTGTCACATTAAACAGTAGATTAGTATCTATCAATTAAAGATTCAAGAGTTTAAGATTCTTATTGTTTTGATCTTAAAAAATATGATTTATTTCATTCCCGCCAAAAAATAAAACGTAAGAATTAAAACATTTCAAGTATTAAAATATATCTATCAGTGATTTTTTCATAAAAATTTCAAGAAGGAAATTGCTTTGTGTACTCTTTCAAACAAAGCAAAAAAGTATATGTCACCGACCTTTTAAAAAAGTTATGAGTAATTTTCATGTTTTTTTCTCATTCGTTTTTAAGAAAAGAATTGTCTTTCTTCAGAACATTGAATTTGACGTCATAGTACTAGTTTTCCGCACTTTTTGACAATATCGCAAATTGGACGTATGAAACCCACATTTAAATTTTCAAGCATAACAACTATATTCACCAACTTTTTTTTCCGGTAATACAAGATACCAAATGAATGTATCAGTATCAGATCTCATGTTGTTGCGGCACAAAATTAGCCTTCAGAAACACCTTCCGTCGGAATGAAAATTGTTCGAATAACCTTTTACTCCACTTTAGAACTAAAAGTTTGTTTTTGTCCTCTCCAACTCATAAGCAAAATCATTGAAAATAACAAGTGAAAATGAAAAATTACACAGGCTAACTTATAGACTATATGACTATATTAAACTAGATGTGTTTTTTCTCTCGTTACTTTCAGCAGTTTGCCCCAGCGCACTTTTCAGTCTACTCCTTCGCCACTGTTGTGTTGACAGACGGATAGAAGCACGGGCGGACTACGTTATACCATTATATGTCCCGACTAAGGCATCTAGTTTGTGGATTCATTATTTCTGAATATTTAAAATGTAAAGAAATTGAAATTATAGGTTTATAAGTATTTAATTATGCATTTAACCTATCAAACTGTTACGATCTCCGTTATTGCTCTTTCACGGGTTTTGAATAAATGAGACAACAGACAGTAAATATAAAATAAAAAATAGTTTTTAATTTAATAATTAGTTTAGAATTCAACAATTTTATTTAAACTAAGAAATAATTTTCCGTTGAATATTATAAAGTATTTCTCAAAACAGTATAAAATCTTATGAATCTAAATTACTCTTTTTGAAAATTAAAACAAAGACAAGGTTGTATATTTATTATATAATTGCCGGTACTGAAAATCGAAATTTATTTTGAATCTTTCCGGTCATTGAAGCTTCTTGAAAGTGAAAAATTTTATGTTGGATCTTATTCCCGGATCAATTGTTTTTCTCATAAGTTAAATTTACAACATGTTTAGTTTTATACACCTTAAATTTTAATTCACATTCACTGAGTATTGATTTCTTAAATTTTGTGCCTTAAACTTCAGTGAAATCAAGCAAAATCTTTATCCTTAGGACAATTTGAAATGAAACAAATGACAAAAGACAATGGACCTTTATTACTTAATTTTTTACTAAAAAATTTTGTCAGTTAAGCAATATAAATAAAATTGATCTTCATTGCAAGATTGGAAATTATTTTACACGAATCATCCAGAGAATAAGTAAATATCAACGTGCATACTGTGAAAGTAACGAAAGCCTATTAGGGTCACAAATTTTTTTTTATTTATCTCGTAATTACGAGATAATTATCGCGTAATTACGAGAAAACTATCGCGTAATTACGAGATAAGAAGTTTTTTATCTCGTAATTACGAGATAATCATCGCGTAATTACGAGAAAACTATCGCGTTATTACGAGATAAGAAGTTTTTTTATCTCGTAATAACGAGATAATCATCGCGTTATTACGAGAAAACTATCGCGTAATTACGAGAAAACTATCGCGTAATTACGCGATAATCATTGTTTTATCTTGTAATTACGAGATAATTATCGCGTAATTACGAGAAAACTATCGCGTAATTACGAGATAATCATTTTTTTTGTGACCCTAATAGGCTTTCGTAGACAGTAGATCGAAACTACTAGAACATTTTTTTTCGGCCTAACCTTCTTAAAGCTCAATTTTGAAAATCACAAAAGTTCAAATTTTAAGCGTAAGTCATTAAAATTTACCCATGTACACACATGAAAATTGCAAAATTTGTATTTGAACGTTTATTATCATACAAGATTAGAGAATGAGAGTGTTGTACCTTTGTGTCCATTTGTGTTTTATTTTCACTAGATATTAGCGCGACGATTAATTCCAAATTTTTTTTTGCAAAACGCATTTTTACGCGTACACGATATCGGAGTCCGTGAAAACGCGAAATAGGACGTTATAATTTGACGTTTTTTTCATGGCTAGAAACAACGTCATAAAGCTTTTATGTCACAACCAAGTTGCGTTAGTTGATGCGCATAAACATTAGGCTGTTTGGTCTTTAAGCGTTCGAAAATATGCCCAAATTTAGTACTTATTGTCAAAAGTGGGTTTTTTTTCTTTGTTAACACCGCCGTAATGCTTTGTCGAGATAGTTTCTATAACATCTATTGGAACAAAATGTTATCATTTAGCACAGGGGGGGGGGGGGGGGTCTCTTCCTATATGAAGGTATATACATAAGTGTCGCTGGAATGGGTCCCTTTTTTGATACGTCAAATATATCAGGGGGGTCTCTTCCTATATGAAGGTATATACATAAGTGTCGCTGGAATGGGTCCCTTTTTTGATACGTCAAATATATCAGGGGGGTCTCTTCCTATATGAAGGTATATACATAAGTGTCGCTGGAATGGGTCCCTTTTTTGATACGTCAAATATATCAATGGAGTGCAATTTTACCGAGGAAATATATCAATAGGTAGTAATTGACCAATTGTGATATATCAATGGGTCGTAATTTTTCAGTTTGTTGTGCAACGATAAATATATGAATGGGTTATGATTTCGCTGTGAAATATATGTATAGGTAGGGATTTCACAATTATTCAATATATGAATGGGGGGTGTTTTTTAAATCCCAGCTGCACAACTGTACCCAAAATCCCATGTTGAGACACCCCCGTGTCATTTAGTTCTCTCTCTATGCACCTTGACGACTATTCAAGATGACAAACCTTATTATAATTTGGAAAAGTGTAAGAAAAAACATCATATGATAGGATTGGTATTCCGTGCTTTTTTTAAATAAATATGATGTTTATATTTACGTACCTGTTTTCTTATATTCGATATTTGCAATACGTTCTTCAAGTGTTTCAATTTTTGCCTTCAATGCATTGATTTCGGCTCTTCTATCTAACTGTTTAACTTTCTTCTCTAACTCACTGCAACAACTAATGCTAGCGGTTCCCGTGAATGTTATCCGACTAGGTAGCCCAACGTGAAGCAAGGAAAGTAAAAGGAAGAACAGCATTTTCATTATTGCCTAAGACCTTGTAATAGTTCATAACTTGCTGTTCTTTATTTTATTTTCAAACTTCTGTAATTTGAGGCCTGAATAGATCCTGTAACAGCTGCTTCATGCAATACAACAAGTTATTGATTTTCAAATATTTTGTATTATTACTTCCTTGTAGTAAAAGCACTGACTTCCCTGTTCTTTCCTTGCTTCACGTTTGCCTACCTTGTCAGATGCAAAGAACTAGAAACAATATTGTTAGTTTTTGCAGTGAGTTGAGATGTTTCTGTATAAACAAAAATAAAATGAAGAACAACAGACGTAAACTATTACAAGATCTTAGGCAACAATGAAAATACTGTTCTTCATTTTTCTTTCCTTGCTTCACGTTGGACTACTAGTATCTTGTCAGATAACAATAACAGGAATCAATAACGTTTCTTAATTAATTTGTATCTTTTCAATCAATCGATAAGATTTGAAAAACGGTAAACTACTGTTTAATCCTACTGTACAAAATTTTAATTTTTGTGTGTTTTTTTAGATACTTTTAAGATTTGTAACACCCTGCTTAATGACAATGTTTTAGATATTATCAATAGGATACACAGGAAGATATGTCAGAAAATCACCCGCATGATCAACCAATTCATTGTAAAAATTGAAAGAGTGATTTTTTTTAATCACCTTGAGTGAACTTACACCCAATTATGACATTAAAATAAGGACTCTTTGCTCCTCCTATTCAAGAAAAGAATGTGACAAAAATCTAAACCCGGTGGATTTTAATTTTACTTCCTTCACGTCATGTTAACAACAACTTTTTGGGATTCGGATTTGAAAGCTGTTTTTCTTATTTACCTGCCATTTGGCCTTATATACTACCTGTAATAGACGAATGTATATGTGTGCTAAAGGTATCATTACTGGAGAAAGGGAATCTAACAACATAAAAATCGACACTTTTTGGTTGCGCTTTGAATATATTTTCACTTTGCTGGTAAGTTTAAACAGCCAATGCAAACATTTGCTCTAATTCAAACCATTCCGATTCACCTGTTGCAATGTGCATGTCTGAATTTATTTACAGCTCTTCTATAAAAGCATGCAAAGCAAACCTTTGATCAACTTGCTTGCTATGTTTGTTTGGATGTTTGTAAACAAAAGGTAGGTAGTCTGTTTCAGTCTATTTACTATATAATGGAATTTGATTGGACAATAAACATTAACTTCATTGCATGTCAATTTTTATTGTCCAATCAAATCCCAGTATATATAAAACAGACTGAAACTCCACCTACCTATTGTTTGCAAACATCCAAGCAAACATAGCAAGCAAGTTGATCAAAGGTTTGCTTTGCATGCTTTTATAGAATAGCTGTAAGAATCTGCATTTGAAAAGTCACTTAAAATAATACTTTTTACACTAATTTATTATTAATTTATTCATTATGTCAGATGAAACTCAGGCAATCATGACTAACTAACTAGATATTATGTTTTTTTTTTATATAATCTATATATATATATAGCAGTTATCTTATAATTGCTATTACACATTATATATACCCCATCAAATCTAGGGCTTTTTAAAAAAAACTTTTTTTTCAAAAAATTAGGCTCTTGCTCATTAATGTAGATTTGGAATTTTATGCTTTTTAAGACAAAATAGGTAGTTTTTCATCAGACTTTTTTCTTGAAGAAAAACCTTAAAGTCAGATTATAGCAGACTAAATTATTTATCTTTTTGCTTTTCTTATCTTTCTAACTTCAGATAAAATTGTTTATAGTTTTAAAACCTTACAATTTAACTTATCAGACATCATTGAAATTGTCTACATGAACGAGTATTCATAAAGAATGCACCTTAGGCTTAATTAAAACTTATTTGCATTTAAACTATTCAATACACCGTATATCGTTTTAAAATCGCGTTAAAATCATCACATTGTTTCATTGTTTATCGGTTTTCTGTCAATTTATATGCAAATTATTCATTACAATTGAACCTTAAGATTCATCTGTGTATACAATACAGTATAAACATAACAATATTTTCTATATCTTCACAAGTGCGGACACAGCTCAGTGTGGATAGTATGTTTGGATGTTCGACAGTGTTTTCTGACAAAAAGAGTTCTCTGGTTTTCCCCATAGGGTTCTATGTTGAACTGTTGTGCCCAGTGACAGTCAACCTGTACCAAACACTGAAAATAGCAGTCTTATGTTCAATATTGCGTTTTACTGTTCAATATATATAAGAAGATGTGTTACGAGTGCCAATGAGACAACTCTCCATCCAAGTCACACTTTGTAAAAGTAAACCATTATCAGGTCAATCAAGACTGTCATGTAGGAGACACCACTTTAAATCAGTGCTGACCGTTCATAGATTTTATTTAGCTAGACATTGCTTTTAATATCAAATCTACATATTGGCAAACGTGCTATGATTGCTTCCTGTATATAATATGTACATTCCTGAAAATAAATTTTGTGCATGTGCAACGTTACATTGGAGGATTTCCTTTCAACATTTTAACTTTGAGATAACTTCTATGCGAATAGATTAACATTTTAAAAAATGATCTGTTAAGGGAACACAGCTAGCTGAGTGTGCTCAAACGCTGGAGAGATTTACGTAAAGAAGCAAAAGATTTGGAAGGATTGCCAAATTATTCCAATAAAATAAGTTTCAAAATTTGATTTGGGATAGCAGCAAAAACTTAAAAATAGAGGAGGACCACATTAGGTGCATTTCTGCATGATGTGATTGTAGTATGCCTGTAATATTTGTATGGTTCTATTTATGTTCCTTTGAGGTGGTCATTTCTTACTTGGGTTTGTCCACAAAAAAAAAACTAAACATTTGTTCAGGATCTTCCCAGTATCATTAGTAAAAGTTTTTGTTTAAATGTGGAAATTAAAGATATATTATGGTTTGATAGTAACGATAATATACCAGATATGGCAGATTCCAATAGAGATGCTCATAACTCCTACAAACTGATTAAAATTCTTTTAGATGTGAACAGGATTGAAGGACAAAAGGATGAAAAATATAATTTATACTAAGGAACATTACCGGTATGTATAAGTGAAAGATCATTTACACTCAGGACTCATCAGCAGGCAGCACAGATGTTAAAAAAAAAGTGTTACAAAACCACCTACATGCATATGTAGCATCATATTTTTAGTAGCACGAGTATCGTTGTTTGGTAAATTTGTGCTTTTTTTATTTGGCTTCTGGACAAAAAATGTTTGGCTCAAGTGCAAATAAAATGCTTTAATATCCCCATAAATGGGAACATTGAATGGATGGTACAACTCCTTTTGCTGACAGTTTTAATCATATTACCTTGCAGCAGATCATGTGCAGATGTGAGTTGTCTGTCAAATCTTTAAATCACAAAGAATGCATTTGCATAACAATGAACTGAGCTCAAAGCAAGGCACTTTAATAATTCACTTGGACAAAAAGCTCAATCTAGTGATATACTTTGTAATAGAGGACTGTCATGAGCATTCTCCTTCATACATGTAACCAACAACATGCCAAACATGGAGCAGAAGTCCTGAAAAAGACATGTTTTTTGTTTATATTATATGTACATGTACATATCCCAGTTTAAACATACAAAGTTGTGGTAAAAACATTCAGTTTCTAGCAAGTAGTTCATGCACTAATATAATAATATTTGCTGAGTGGCCCTCTTTTTGAAATAAGATCATACTTCCACATAATCATTGTAATTAGGTGACCAAATATTAAAACTATAAAAAGTTATCACTTATCTATCAGTATCTATTTACCATCACAACTGAATCAATATATAAGACTCTGATTGACACCCAGTCTTTAACCAACCCCCATTCCTGAAGTCGACATTGAAATCTGACATCACAATAAAAATAACATTTCAAATCTACATGTTATTGTATGACCAATTATATATCCCTAAAAAATATATCTATTTTGTTGTTCTCAAATTAATGTCACAATAATATTGGCTTTTGTAATTGATGTCTTTTTTACAGACTAGCCACAATGAAATCCAAGTTTAATAAAAGGTTAGGGTGAAACCAATGCTAAAAAAGTTGTGAAAAATATAATATTTTAAGTCTTGCTAAAAAAAAGTAATAATACATTTCAGCAATCGGCTGTACTTTAAGTTTTTTATTTGGTCTATTGTTTGAGATTGTTTATTGACCTCTAGAATTGTTTTACATGTAAATTAATAATAATCCTGGTGGCATTTATTTAAATGAAGGATGAACTTCTTACACCAGAATATTAATAGGTCTTATTGTTATTTTCTGAGGTTTGGCCTTTTAATTTTAAGCTGTAACATGCCAATAGACCATGACAACCATGACTAAGGTTGTTGACCAACTAATCCCCATTGATGAGATGTTGTTATTCTGATACATGTACAACACACCAAATATTATTGACTTACCAGTACTGGTTCCCCACAAACTGAACTAATCAGATTTAGCATATAACAGAGCTCCACATAAAAATTCACAAATTGGGGTTTTTACCCATTATTTTTAATGTAATGAGTGAATGTTTTTTTTCAATTGCATTATTAACTCCAATTCACCATTCAAGCAAATATCAAATTGGGTTTTTCACCACCAAACTCTTTAATGTAATGGGTTTTTTCATCATCAATATATTGAATTTAGGCATGTTATATAATAAAGTTATGTCAAACCAAGATTTCAATCCATGATTCAAATATGTTTCTTTCTATATATATATATTTAACCGCCAATGGCAGTCAGCAGGGTTTAAGAACATCAGTTGTTCGACCTGCTAGTCAAATGCGTTTTGTTAAAATATACTTTTTCACTGTTTTGGTCTTTTGGAAAATGTTGTTTGTGCTGTATTTAGACCGCTCTACCAAGAAATTTGTTTTGCATGCACACGTATAAAAATTGCGGTTTTTATCCAACGCAATCATAGGTTTGAACGTTGTATTCAATTTAGATTTGTTTATATTTTTTCGTTTGGGCTTGTATTATATTTGCCTTCGGGTTTATATGATCCGTTCATCCTATTTCGACTCTTTCAAAATTCAAGAGTCTATCCTAAATTGAGGTAAATTATATGGCCTTCCA